GTTCAAGCAGGCTTATCCAGAAGGTTGCTTAAGGAAGAAGCGGTGTGTTTCGGTGGCATAAGACCTTTTTGGAGGGCGGCAAAGAGGTCGCTGATGAAGCCAGTGCTGGGAGACCTGCGACTTCCACCAACACCGACAATGTGACTCGTGTGTTCAAAGTTTTGAATTCAGAAGTCGACTAAGTATTCGTTTAATTGCCCAGTTTTTAATTTTTTCAAAATCTGTGGTTCATGACATTGTGACGAAGCACTTGAACATAGGCAATGATGGTTCTAAAACTGCTCAAAGACGACCAGAAATTGCCGCTTGTGGAAATGTGCCAAGAAAATTTGAACATGTGTGAAATGATCCCCAAGTTTTTAATAAGCTAATCACAGGTGGCCAGCACTCTTCCGAGCATTTTGAACTGATAAAGAGGATCCAAGCAGCATGCACCTCGGATCTCAAGGCGACGCCTTCAATGCTTGGCAATCGCCCTGGCGGCGCTGCATCGACGCGGATGGAGCATTTTTTGAAAATTTTTAAAGAATTGTAACGATTGGTTTAATAAATTCTTTAAATCGACTCAGTCCCATTACTTTTCGGACAAACCCTGTAATTAAACTCACAATTTTTTCATTCGTGTCCGACAAAGTTTGTCAAAATTGGTTCAAATTCACGCATTTGAACTTACCGAAATTAAATACACTAAGTCCACTTTGCACCGTCAATGAGAGAATAGATGAGAAAATATATAACCTCTAGGTCAGAAATATAACTTAAGTGGTATTTAAATTAAAATTTCAGTGTGTTTGTAAATTGAAATAATTATTTCTTTTGCTTTTTTCTCAAGAAACTTTAACAACTGAAATCGCACTTCATTGGGAGAAATGTGTTCCACTTCTTTCTCGTAACACTAAACATAAGGTCGGTATATGTATATAAGGAAACTAAATTGCCCACCTTTTTTCAAGCGAATTTGACTCCATGAGTAATACTTCACTTCGATGCCGCCGTTCTTTAAATTCTCACGTATCACGTCACTTAGAATTTTTTGAAAACTCGCTAGAACATTTTCACCACGCATTTGCATATACTCTTGATCCACAACAACGGCTGGAATTCGTGAAAGAAAAAAATTAAATACCATAAGAAACACGCATGAAAATGAAAGCTACACTTTCCTCACCTAAAGATGCGTTTGCAGTTAAAAACGAAGAGAAGTCATTGGCTGCGACGTGTTGCGGCAGCAGCGCGAGGCACAGGGGCAGCCACAGTGACCACAAAGAAGCGCGAAAGCGCATCGCTGACATTCGTTGCAAAAGTAAAACTTAACTGAAAAACTCAGTGCCTGAGCATTGCATTTTAACTCGGAAAAGCATTCACAAAAGAATTGAATATTATAACGGGATTGGCAGTTATAAAAAGGATAGCACAAAAATATTTATTAATTTCTGATTGCATTTGGCGTGCGCCTAACTAACACTTCAAATTAACCGCCACGGATATTACTGCACGCACACTTATATACGTACATTCAAATATGGAGTGCCGCCGTGGTCGAGAGCAAAGGCCAGATTGGTATGATTAATATTTAACGAGTGAAATCGAAAGCACGGCCATTGCACTGCAGCGGTTTTCATGCTTTAAAATAACCCTCTTGGGATACGTGCGGATCCAATTAAGGGGTGCTCTAATGAATCGTCGAAATTAAGGTAGTTTTGAAATGTATTTTTATTTTGATTGAAAACAAGTTTGAAAAACTGTGTCTAAAATATTAAATATTTTGGAAAGCAAACTGATATTTATTGCTACAATAATTTGAATTTGAAATTCGACTGAATTATTAAGTTATAATATTTTAATAACAAAAAATATTTTTTTTTATTCTTTTGTAGAAATGTCTCAAAAAATATAAAATATTTAATTTGGAAATAAATTAAATTTTGTTTAAATATTCTTATTATTTCACTTACTTCCTCAACCCCTCATTAAAATTTCTATGCTAGTTGTGTGTGTTAGCGTGTCTTTTGATTGGCATATTCTCGCCACTGCGTCTCCGCCTCACCTCGCACGCATTATACGTGTACACATTTATATGTATGTACGTTTATATACCCATCACATACTTACTTTTGGCGGGCACGCTACAGCAGGTGTTCGCCGCCAGTGGGCGTACGAATTGTGGGCGTGTAACTGTTTATTGCCGATTGTCATAAAAACAAAGTGGCTGTGAAATTGTGTGTTTATATGTGTATATGTAAGCACATATGTATGTGTAGATGTGTGCGCTTGCATGCCCAGGAGGAAAATTGAAGAGTTCAAAATAATATTAAGGCACAAAAGTACAGAGAAAATAACTTAATAATAAAATGAGTAGAAACTTCTCAGAATGGATACAAACTCTTTAGACGAGAAGACCTCAGGAATGGGGAAGTTTCATGAGGGCTGACAGGCTTGAAGTACCATTTTCATATTTTTATCTCTAATAATGCCAACTAAAATACCTCAAACTTACAACCAATTTCGAGTAGTAATATTTCAGTTAGTGTTTTCAATTAGATATCTCTTAGCTTATAAGTTCTCATAGCAAATATTTTTCCAGCAAAAACTATCAGTTTCATGTCAAAATGATATATAAGAAATAAGGAGGCTACATATTTTTTTATTTGTTGCTGTAAAATTAATTAGATTAGATCAATTTGTGTACTTTGAGTATTGAATTGTACATATTTTCATTTATTTTAATTGTATTGAAAAGTTATAGTCCGATCACGACAATTTTTCCACAAGGGATACCTCAGCTCAAATACCTTATTTGTGTAAAGTTTTATTCCGCTATCATCATTGGTTCCTAATGTATATATTATACAGAGAAGGCAGCAGATGGAATTCAAAATAGCGTTATATTGGAATAAGGCGTGGTTGTAAACCGATTTCACTCATATTTCGAACATATCATCAGGGCCTTAAGAAAATATTATATACCGGTCGAGTAGTTCCTGATTCATGGTTTTTGGTCCATAAGTGGGCGACGCCACGCCCATTTTCAATTTTTAGAAAAGGCCTGGGTGCAGCTTCCTTTTGCCATTTCTTCTGTAAAATTTTGTGTTTCTGACGTATACTGTTAGTCGGTTAACGCACTTTTAGTGATTTTCAACATAACCTTTGTATGGGAGGTGGTCGTGGTTATTATTCGATTTCTTACATTTTTGAACTGTATATGGAAATGCCTAAAGGAAGCGACTCTATACAGTTTGGTTGACATAGCTATAGTAGTTTCCGAGATATGTACAAAAAAGTTAGTAGGGGGCGGGGCCACGCCCACTTTTCCAAAAAAAAAATTACGTTCAAATATGCCCCTCCCTAATGCGATCCTTTTTGCCAAATTTCACTTTAATATCTTTACTTATGGCTTAGTTATGACACTTTATAGGTTTTCGGGTTTCGCCATTTTGTGGGCGTGGCACGGGCCCGATTTTGCCCATCTTCGAACTTATGGGGTCAAGAAATACGTGTACCAAGTTTCATCATGATATCTCAATTTTTACTCAAGTTACAGCTTGCACGGACTTACGGACGGACAGACAGACATCCGGATTTCAACTCTACTCGTCACCCTGATCACTTTGGTATATATAACCCTATATCTGACTATTTTAGTTTTGGGACTTACAAACAACCGTTATGTGAGCAAAGCTATAATACTCTCCTTAGTAACTTTGTTGCGAGATTATAAAAATTATTTGCTATCCAAAAAAAAAAAAGTAGTCCCAGCACTAAATTCTTGAGAAAAGTGTGGAAATAATGGCAGTGGACGGAAGAATAAATCCTGCGGACAATACTTCTAAATATGAATCAAGACCAGATCCTGGAAAAGCGGTCAGCGACGAATTCATCAAGATTCACAACAAGCTTTAGACAATTAATTCACCATTAAGAGAAACAGAACAGGAACAACAAATGCCCCAACTTCATGCACAAATAACTGCATTGATGGAAGCTTTAAATACGCCGCAATTCATACAAAGATTATCATCAGCGGAACAGTGAAAACTTCCACAAGCAACACCGATTACCCATCATGAACACACATCCCCAGGATGGAGGAGATATATAAACATCACTGCATACTAAATTTAAGGATGCAGAGAAACGATTATCAATCAAAAAACAAAATATCAAGAAAAAACATTTTGGATTGTGGCCGACTTTGTCAAGAAAAAAATTGAGCAATTGTTAAATTACGGAATAACACACTCAATATTCCAAAAAATGCTGCAAAAACAAAGCAAGCGAAAGGGAAATGGGTTTTGACTTTTAGAAAATTAACGCTCATATAGTTTACTGTCAAATCCAACCTATGATCAAACTTCAATAGAATTTACACTGGTATGAAATTTTGAAACAATGCCTCGAAATTGAGGACTATTTTGAAGCTGTAGATTTAATATGTTTTACTAAAAAAATTATAAAAAAAGCAGCCTACCGAATGTGGAAAAAATTTAAATTTTTATAAAAAAAATTATTTTTGGTATAAACGACTAAGCTCATGTGTTAAGCATACCACAAATATATACAAAGGATTCGTCTAAGCAGCGAAAAATATATGAAACTGAGAAGCGGAATAACTAAAAACTAAACTCTGACTTTTAAAGGTAAATATAATATTAGGCCTACGGCAAATTAAAGCAAATAATTTGGTCAAGCAATGGGGAATATTTTAGCGTCCAATCAAAAAGTGTACTTTAACTTGCATTTAATATTTTTTATTATTATTTTTCGCCTCGTTGAATTTGAACTCTGTTAAAGCGATGTCTAAAGCATTTAAAACATAGAACAAGCAAAACCGTTAACTTCGACTGCACCGTAACTATAACACCCTTCTTAGGTGCATATAAAGGGTGTGACAAAATTAACGTAAGATCTAAATTTGCCGCCATTTATGTGGTAAAGTGTTGAGAACCCTAAAAAAACAAGTTATAGACTTGTAAAAAAACAAGTTATAGAAACGAGTTATGTTTAGGGTTAGTAAAAATGGAGCATTACACGATAGAACAATATGTCTTCATGATTGAGTTTTTTCGACCATCCTAAGCGATGGAGTTTTACCTTTATGGGTTTTATAGTTGTTAAATTGCCGTTATGAGAATCTACATGTCATTGTTGAAAAACATTGCATACATAACGTGCCACTGCTTGTCGTTAAGGCTTAATTGGACCATACTTTTTTTGAAATTAAGCAGTAACCGTTACTGGTGCTCGATATCGAAATTGATGTGGCCAATATGTGATTTCAACGAGATGATGTCACATGTAATACAAGCACTTTAATTACAGCTGAGATAATTTCTGGTCATGTTTATTTCGTTTAGGTTATCAGAATTGTTGGAATATGGGGTCAAAGGCCCCCTAGAACGTGTGATTTAACTTATTCGATTTCTTTTTATGGGTTTATTTAAAATCAGAGGTCTATTGCAACTAGCCGACAATAATGCGTGTTTTAAAGGAGCAGATCCAACTTTCGAGCAATGAAATTCAGTAACATTTATGCAGAATAGTCATAGAAAATGTTGACAAATCAGTGCGTATGTGTATGAAAAATAGCGGAGGACTTTTGGCCGATGTAAAAATAAAGGCCGAAAACTTGGTTTTCTATTTAACTTAGATTTTCCAAATGAGCAGCTCCTTGGTGTAGAATTACATATTGATAACTAAAAAATTTAAGCACGAAAGTTTTTCCAGCAGGGGTTTGGAATTTTTCTACAAATAGCTTTCGGTGCGTTCATAGATACTATATGTATGAGGAAGTAGAATGTATATTGATATATGGGAAACCCTGCTAAGTTAAAAATGAGAATTTAATTGAATTTCCTTCGACTCTGGTACAGTTAAATTCGTGAACGGGCACAATATAGTAATTGTAATATATTTTTCAAAATGCGATTTTATTTTACTGAATGATATTTTTTTGTGTTGGGTTCTTTAGTTTGTGTTTAGAAAATACATACATACGTATTATCGGTGTATGCATGCACTTATGCATTTGTGCAGTCGTTGAGCTTTGTCTTTCGTTCCAATATGTTTATGTATGTATATATATAACGGTATGAATGTACGATTATGTGGTATGTATGTAAGTTGTTTTCAATTCGTTTATTATTTATTACTAATTTCTATGTGGTTACATTGTTATAATTAAATCGCTTACGACTAAGACTTTCGTTTATAATTCGCTAAATTGGCTCGATGGAGGAAAAACGTACATTGGTATAAACTATATATGTGTATGTATGTATGTAGTCATGCGTCTATGCATATATTTATACATATAGGGTTCATTACAGTTGTAAGCATAGATTTTGTTAGTGTTTTAGGAAGTTGTTAAGCATTGTTAGTGTAGATGTATGATGCTTATTCGAACTATATACGAGGATTATAAGCAGATTTTGGATTAAGGAGAATTTTGTGCGTATTTAATAGAGTGTTTTGATGCGCTTTGGCTAGTTACAGCTAATTAATGTTATAGATAACTGTATTTTAATTGAAGTAATTAAATTAGCATAGGCTAAGTGTACAAGTTTAGCATTTTGCTTATGATACAGCACAATTCCAATATGATTATTTTTTGTTAGTGTTAAATGCATATTAACTTATCGCTATACATATTATCTATAGTTAAATATATTTAGCGCTGTGTTTGTATGTATACAGCATATATGTGTATGTGTATGTGTATGTGTGTTACGATAACTCTAGCACTAATCTAAATACTCATTAGGTATGCGCTTATAAAATATTTGAAACTATATTTAAATTATATATGTCTACATATATGTCTATCTGTTATGTATTTATGTTTTACTAAATTATAAACTAACCTCAATTAAATTAATGTTAATATGTTCGAAGAAAACTTAATGCTCAAATTATGTAAAATTCGGCACGCTTCAAACATCAATTCTGTTGAATTCTTTCATTCTGCGCTAGATTTATGCTATCTCAAACCTTTTCTAACGCCATGATAACTTTCGCTGTCCCTTTCGATGGTTAGCCTAAACCCACACATCCTGCTTTTAGTCTCATTCGTGCAAAATCGCACTTAACCGCTCTTCGACGGCGACCTTTCGCGATTTCCACACAAATTCACAGACGGCAATAACACATGCCACACCCATACCGCCCATTAGCACGACGAACACACCGCCCACATTCGCCAGGCCCAACTCGTTTGCGGCCGATGAGGATTTCGATGTCTCAACGCGACAACTGCCACCGCCACGTTTCTCCTTCCACCATTTGGTTTTCAGTATGTGCAGTTTGCCCTCCTCCTGCAGCTTGAGTATGACGCCATTGATGGCGGTGCGATAAGGGGAATCTGTAAAGCAGCAGTGATTGCATTATTTACCGCTAAACTCAGCACTTTTGTTGTATATAATTGCAGTAATGAATTTTGTGTAAAGAAATGGTAAATAATATATTTATCCACTTACTCGGTGGCGCTGCTATGCCATAACCCTTGGTGTCCAACATGCCGCCGACTTGTGTCAGCTCACAGTTACGTTCGGTCACATATTCGATGGATGTGGATTCCATGAGGAAGGCATATGAACCTGCAAGACGATATATTTTCTGAATAATTATACTAAAATTTACGGTTCCTTTAACATACCTTTGCCTTTGGCAACGCGCTCCACTCCTTCGGCGTTAGTCGAGGTAAATACAGATGGACGTGCAGACTCCATGAATGACCACATGCGTTGATAAGTTGATATTTTCGATTCCTGTTGTGAACAAAATGAATAATTGGGTATCAGAAAACTAAATTTCAGTGAGATTTTGCTGACATTAAGGGCACAAACTGTATAGTACATTCACATTAGGACCCAAGCTCGAGTTTACGCGCAATTTTGACGTTAGGCATTTTAAATACTATTCATAAAACCGAGTTATCCACCAAACAAGTTGCTTTTAAGTTGACTTAAACACTAGTTCCTGTTGTTTATTATTCGAAGTTAAACTCGGAATGCCTTATAGTTAATTGCCATAAACCAAATCTTTAAGCTCCAGGCGCATAGCAAATGTATGAAATAATATATAATATAACTCAGAGTCATTGAACGAACCGGGTCTCAAACCCATAATGTAAAAAACATTAGCAATGAAAAGAAGAAAACAGCTGTGTTAACTAACGCTGAGCAATACTAAAAGCTCTGTCAGGGGTTTCAGGGTTTTTCAATCTGCTCCTTCAGAAAATAATTCGAGCTGCAGAGCTGAATCGAGGAGATAAACTTTTTTATAAGAGCTGCTGATCTACGCCAATGATATTGATATTATTGGCCTCAACATCCGTTCCTCTTCCTCCAGAGTGGATACTAGTGAACGAGGATCAAACAAACGGTCGTCCCACTCGCGCCATGGCTCCCATGTCACTGTTGATAGTCATAACTTCGAAGTCATAGATAATTTCGTCAATCTTGGAACAGGTTTTAACACCAACCACAATGTCAGCCATGAAATCCAACGCATAATAACTCTTCTCAATAGGAGCTACTTCGAACTGGGTAGGCAATTGAGAAGTAAAGTTCTCTCTTGACGAATAAAAACAAAACTGTATAAGTCATTTATTATTCCCGTTGTGTTATATGGTACAGAAGCATGGGCGATGACAACATCTGATGAGTCGGTATTACGAGCTTTCGAGAGAAAGGTTCTGCGAATTTTTGGTTCTTTTCGCATTGCCAACGGCGAATATCGCATTCGATGAGTTGTACGAGATATATGACGACATTGACATAGTTCAGTGAATTAAGAGATAGCGGCTACTCTGGCTAGATCACGTCGTCCGAATGGACGAAAACACTCTAGTTCTGGAAAAGGACCTAGCTACACTTGGAATCTGTAAATGGCGCTAAGCAGAGAAAAGAAGAACGCCTGCCTCGGCTATAACTGCTCAAGAGATGTCTACGCCATTAAAGAAGAAGAAGAAGAAACTTCCGGCAAAGCGCTTTGAGGCTATCATATTAAGAAAGCTAATGCATATACTATGTATGCATAAGCTAGCTCCATTAGGTTACCGCTTCGATCTACTTACTCTGAAAAACGCAGCCGTACTGCCACCCTTTAATGCGCCATACTTTATACGCGTTTGCTTTGCCAGATCCTCAGCGCTTTCAATAGGAGAATCCATGCGTTCAACGGTGAGAAAGGCCGCCAAGTTAGCTGTGTACGATGAGATCATGATCAAAGTAAAAAACCACCATATGCCAGCTACCATTCGCGTTGATAAGGCTCTGTGTTAAAGACAAAAGCATTTTAGAAAATTTTGAAGAAGAGTATATAATTATTTAACTTACTTGGGTAAGAAGTCGCAACCTTGCTGCATTAGTGAACCGATTGCGAACCACATACAATTCATTAGTGTGAATTGACTTTCTATTTTCTCGCCATGCGCATCGGAATATGCGGGCCATTCATAAGGTGTGAAGCTGTAAAAAAAAACTGCTTTTAGTTGTGGATTGCTATATTATTCACTCAAAAATTACCGTGCTAAAATGAAGAGAAGCACCGAAACACCCAAATATGCTGTGGCCATGTAGATCCAAACGTCGAGCGAAAGCGGTGAGAGGAATGAAAATAAGTTAGGCGGTTGTTTAACGGGTTTGCGATAAAGCACCGAGACGCCCAAGTTCATGAAGGGCATGGTGAAGTCTACCGCCTGTTCGCGCTCAAAGGTGATGGTGAGATCAGCAACCGCAAGATCGGCGCGTTGCTCCAACAGTTCGCGTATCATGCCGTTCCATTCGCTAAGGCAAGAAATATGCAGAGTTGTATGAGAGTCTAAACTCCTAATGCTTAACTTACAGTGTTTGTTTGTTGAAACTGCCATAGCTGCCATCTGGCACTAACTGAATTTTGTAATGGAAACCCAGAGCCTTGGAGATTTCATGTATGAGATCAACAACGTAACCTTCAAACTGATCGTTGCCTGTAAGTGGAACTGCTGACTCTTTGCGCATGCAATATGGATTGCTCTATAAAGTTTAAAAATTATTAAAGCTTCATACAGTATTAATAACTCGCATTATATTTCGTTGTACCCACCAATAATGTTGTGACTGTCAGCGTTTTGTTCTTCAAGTTCGCTTCAATTTCGCGCTGTTTTTGGCTGTAGGTACGCGTAAAGTTGATACCGTCCGGCAGTGTTGAATTCCATGTGCCAATTTTGCGTATACCCATCGGCCCTAATTCGATAATGTCCAACACGAAATCGGTGCGAAAGCCTTGATGATCAAATTTTATCACATTGGTTAGACCCTTCATTTCGACGATCTTCATATAGTTGATCAAACTGAAACCATGTTGCCATGTATTTTGACCATCACAACTAATGGGATGTATATCGATTTGTTGCGATGTATCCAAATCATGTAATGCTTTCGCGAAAAGATGTACCGCATCGTACATTAGCGCAGTCTCCGCTCTCACCGTACTCAAATTGGCAGAGCGTTGTAAGCCCTTGTCGTCGAAACTCCACTGACGCACCACATCCGAGACGACTTTTTCGTTAATCAGACGAAAGCCGGTTATATTCGTGCCACCATAACGGAATTCGTCTAGGTTGATGGTATGCAGATCCAGTGAGGTAATCAAGTAACTGTGATAGTCGCTCATCATGCCAATTTGTTGTGCCTGCTTGAGTACTTCGTAAATTTTATCGCTGGAACAGTCGAGTACGATGTGCGCTTCGGCGGAGTTTTTGATTTGTTTTAGCAGTGGTCTGGCGTGAGAGAGAGAGAGAGAGTTTTGTTAATATAAAAGCGTAAGTATTTGTCAAATAAAATCATAAAGTATCTTCTCAAAAAACCAAGTTCAGCGGAAAGCTGAAATGTTACAGTGGAATCATGGAAACTCTAAGGGTGTTGTATTTGCAAGGAAATTCAGATTAGCACCTATGCAGTAAGGCAAAAAATATTTTATAGAAACCTATGTCAGCAGTTTCCTCTTATCTGTCTCGCTTTAACGAAATTAAAAGAAAAAAATCTACACTCCAAACTCTTCAGCCTTCAGGAGAACTACTCAGAAACCATATCAGACGGCTTCGCCGATTTATGACGCACTATGTATGATCATCCGAATGAGGATCAGCCTACTTAACAGATCTGGTCGGAAAGATTAATATGAGTTTGACAGATATGTTTTCTTATAGATTCTCATGCTTTAGTGTTCTGAAATCTGGTAACTAGGAGAATTCTGTATTGGCTCCATTATATAGAGACTGTACTGCGTGCTAGGATAGCTGAAACCACTATGGGGAGAGTAAGATTCATCTTGGCACTACAAAGAGCTGTCCACAGGGTGGAGTTCTATCCCCTCCACTAAGGAGAATAATAGTAGATGAGCTCCTTGAGTTGGTCACAAACAATGGCATTCGGTACCAGGGGAACGCCGATGAAACTGTCCTAATATTCGTCGCGACAGAGTCCAAAGTCTAGCACAATGAGGGTGTAATACGGTAGGATTAAATATCAATCCGTCAAAAACATCCGTCGTCCCTTTTACTAAGCGAAAATCTCTTTCGAACTTAAAGCCCCTAACACATGGTGCCAGGGAGATGGAGATGTTAAAAAGGTTAAAATCCTAGTGCTCACATTAGGCTCAAACTTACGGTGGAATAGTCACATGAAATTAACACTGTTCAGAGCCCACAAGGCAGCCATGATATGCAGACGCCTAGCCGGTAGCTCCTGGGGCTGCAAGTAATGTATCATCCGGTGGCTGCATACCATGAACATAAGGCCTCTTTAGGGCGGTTGCTTGGCCATCGAAGGTTTTCGGTAGACCTTCAACTATCGAAGTCATGCTGGAGTTCATACCGCTGCACTTAGTGATCAAACAGGTGCGAATGCGATGCAAAGCATACCATGTTGCTCATGGCAACCGAGAGTTTTGGCAAAGGGAAAATAATGTCGCCTAACCAAATAAGGACACACCACTGGTCCTTCTTCCAAGAGACCGCGTTACGAAGAAAGTGAACTACAAAAAAAAAAAAAAAAAAAAAAAAAAAAAAAAAAAAAAAAAAAAAAAAAAAAAAAAAAAAAAAAAAAAAAAAAAAAAAAAGAAGTTTAGAGTTACTCTCGTTGATGGGGCCAGAACTATACTTTGGCGTGGGGTCCCACACCATAAAGAAGTTGCTCCGCTCGGTGGAGAGAGTGGGAAGAAATGGCACCGGCAGCAGGCAACAGCAATGCGCCACGCCAAGTTAGTACTGTAGGCGGAACGCTTAGCAAGTTTTAGAGATATGCTCAAGCTATCACGAAATAAACTCCGTCTCCTTGTCGCGCTCTATACTGGACACTGCAGGCTAAAGAAATACTTACCCAACATGGACCAGAATACCTGCTTCTAGAATGCCCAGCAGTTTATAGAAGGCTGACGGCCCTAGGATCCATCTACATGGATTGGAATCACATCACCTATCTATCACTTTAAATTTACCAATTATTTTCTATCTACATATCTATCTAGGTATCATGAGCCAAACCAGCAAGCTCATAAAATTTACACAGCTCGTGTATAGAAAGATTTAGTTTCAAAGTGTCTTATGGTCATAACTATTTCAGGAAAAATTCAAATACGGCTTTAAAGTTTTTGTTATTTAAAATAAAATTACTTTATGTAAGAAGAAACTATAAAAAAAATATTCAAACGAGTCAACATTACTGAGCGTTCAATGCAAAATGCGGTCACTTACCTATAATCCCCCGATAAACTCAATTGTCGCACTGTAATCGGATACGGTGAGTTATCATGCGCCTTGATTAACTCCTGTAGCCGTACAATGCCGTCATTGTTCTCATAGATAATGGTGAAAGTCTTCCATTCCCATTGCTTCACGATATCCACATAAGCCTGAAGAGCAAACAATGAGATAATGTGCATAAGTATAGCGCTGAAGCCGATTAACGGCAAGTTAAGCTCTCACAATTATTTTAAGTGGCCCAAATGTGTGTGTGTATATTTGTGTGAGTGTGTATGTACATAAATCGGCAGACATACCTTGGCCAGTGTGTTTGGATGTGGATACAAGTTCACCAGGCAGCTTTCACGTCGCAAACGGTAATCCCAACGGTTCTCCAAGTGAGGAATCTACAACGACGAAAAAAAACCGTTTTAGTTAAAAAACTAACGGAAGTGCTGCAATGATGCAAGCAAATCTAATGTCGGTATTTGCTTTGGATTTGTCAGTACATAAGCTCTGACTTGCTTGCCTTTAGCCTTAACAGTTGCGATAACTGTTAATCCTTGCGTGGGTACATACATACCTCCATATTGTCGCAGATGCTTTGCACATGGCTCGCGGTGTTCGAGGATTGTGGCCCGAATATGGCTGCCACGCCAATGTTCAACAAGCCGCAAACTGTAAATAGTGGCAAGCAAAACAAAAGAGAAAAAATTGAAATGTTGCAAAAGCACAAAAAAAAAAAAACAAAAAAACCAACGCAACACCAACTAAATCAGTATGCTCAGTGCACAAACAACAACAAACACCAAATTTATTTAAAATTCTACGAACACACATACGAAGATGAGCGCATGTGCCCGACCGAGCAATGAAAACAGAAACTACGCCGGCCAAACTGGTGATAATAACCGTTATTCGTTCGTTTTTATAGCTGCCTTTACGAGTTTGAACAACTCCCCTGCGTCGGTGGTCCCGCCGGTCCTTAACTACTTCACTACTTGTCTTATGTTATGTTGTCGTCGCTGTCGCAAATGCGCTACGTAAACATTAATAAACCAGCATGCCTCGGCATTTCCCAGGCGTACTGTGCTTTTACACAGTTGCCAGTACTGATTTCGTCCGCACTACACCACCGTCTTTAGCATGCTACCAAGGATTACCAACTATTGTGCCGTATTCTCATTCTTCTTTTCAATTATTCGTTTACTGTTGTCTTTATGTGGTAGCGGATAAAAAGCGGAAGTCATTCATACGCGAATAGTATTTGTTGGCTGACCTTTGTCGCGACCTAACCAACTCGTATTGCGATTGGGGGAGCGACGTTTCCTAAACCGATTATCCACTATCTGTGTAAGAATAGGGAAGATAATATAAAATTTCAGCTATGCGAGAGCGTGTTATAATAATTTTGGAAAATGGCGGAATTGAATAAATTGGCCAAACGCGTTTTTTATAAAATATTTTTGAAAACTGAGCATGTCTAGCGAGCCTTTTGCTATATAATGAGCACAGCCTTCCGAAATCCTCTGAGACAAAGAAAGTAAAAAATACTGAGTTAATTCTATAAAAAATTCGAAGAGTTCACGATGAATCTGTGGTTAGTCGCAAAGAAACAACAACACTCTTGATTGCTTTATATTGAATGAACTCCTCCCTTTTATATCCGAAAGTCTGCAAAAAGAGACTAATCGCAAAAATTCGTGGCATCGCACATAGCAGTCCCAGTGCGATCTTTTTGATCAGCATCTAACCTAACCTATGTATATAATAGCATAGAAGAAATATATTCTACAAATAACTCTTGCCAACAAGTGCTTCTTCGGACTGAGTTGGCAATTGAGAAGTAAAGTCCTCTCTCGATGAGCAAAGACCAAACTCTACAAGTCATTCATCATTTCGGTTCTGCTATACATATGGTGCAGAAGTATGGACAATGACAACATTTGACACCGCTTACGAGACTATAGCCAAGTGACAACAGCGCGCCAGTAGTTCTTCCCTTATGCTATTTGGTGCCCCAATTGCAGATTACAATCTTCCTAGCCGCTGTCTGTAAATTCGCTGAACTATGTCGTAAAGCTTATCGTTCCATCGACTGCGGTTTTCGCCGTTGCCAACGCGCAAAGGACCAAAAACATTTTTCTCGAAAACTCGTAATGCCAACTCATCGGATGTTGTCATAGTCTATGCCTCTGCACCATATACCCGGACGGGGATGATGATTGACTTGTAGAATTTGGTTTTTTTTCGTCCAGAGAGCGTTTTATTTCTCAGTCCAAAGTTGAAACTGTTGTTGGTCTTAATGCTGGTTCTAAGACATACGAAATTATCTACGACGTCATTTACTTCACTTCTTTATAAAGTGTGGAGGAAGCAGAACTAACGGCGCGGCTGTTGAGGCCAATGATATCAATACCATTGGCGTACGCCAATAACTGTATATTCTTATAGAAAATGGTCCATTGTCTATTTAGTTTGGCAGCTCGAATTATTTTTTCCAGAAGTAGATTGAAGAAGTCGCATGATGGGAGAGTGGCCTTCCCTGAGCGTCCGTTCAGCCATTGGGGAATCGGGTTTACCATCTCCTGGAGTTAAGCTTTCATTGCAATTCAGCAGGCTGGAAAGGCAGGTTCCTTTGTCAGCCATTGGAGAATCGGGTTTATCATCTCCTGGTATTAAGCTTTCATTGCCATTCAGCAGGCTGGAAAAGTGCTCCCTCCATAATTTCAGTAGAAGCTCTGAGCATCTGTCACTAGATCACCTCTGGAGGTCCTAAAAGAATATGCTGAAGTCTTAAAGACTTCTGTTAGTCGCGTCATCTTTTCGTAAACTTTTCGGCTTTGCTCCGGTCAGCCAGCTCTTTGTCCTCATGCATTTCGTCCGGTCAATTATTTTGTCCGCAATAGCCTCTCGCTCTTCAACATTCGGTATATATCCGATCCTGCACGTGTTGTGGTCGATAGTAACTTTGCGAGGTAGAGAGTTTGTTTTCATTCCACTGCGACACAGCGCAGCATTTCTATGTCAGCAAATCTCCCTACAAATACGTCAGCTAAGAAATTCAATCAACTTGTTGTCGGTAACTATAAATAACTACGCCACTATGATAAGAGCACATCAACCAAATTGGCAAATGTTTATAAATAAACCAGAGTACTCACCCCTTTTGCCCGCATGGAAGCTATCAAACGGCGAGATGCGCTCAATTTGTGCCACCAACTTGGAGCGCGGCAATATTAACCGATCCGAGTTGATGTGCTCGACAGCTTGACGAAAGGCCAACTCCTGTGTGTCGTCGGTCGGATGAAATAGGCCACCTGAGGGGCGAATGCGAAAATAAATAAATGCACATGCATCAAAAGCGGCAACGGTAAGTGGGATAATGTGGTACGCGCAATCAGCAGCTCATTAAGCGGGGTTATGAATGAAATAGGGGAACGCAGGAGAACATTAGAGCGTGAGCGGCGCAGAATAAGAAACAAAAGCAAAAGCGGAATGGCGGAATGGCAAAAATGAAAGGTAAACAAAAGTGCCTTATGTGTATTTTTAATTTCATTTAATTGCGTTATTGTGAAAGCAAGGAAGTTCGTAATTTCCGCTCATCCGTGCGCTCGAGCTCACTAGCCCTTCAGAAGCTGCTCAAGTGTACGCTCACCGCTGCTGCCCTCACTACTACATGCATAATCTTAAAGTAATAAATTTAATGCAATCAAAAATCAATAAATCAAAGTGGAAGCGGGCGCAAATAGACTTCATGAGGCTGATGGAGGCTCATAGATAATCGAGCGTTGGCGTAGCCGAGTGCGTCTGATAAGCCCACTTGGCAATGTAACTATTTATAAATTCTTCTTCTATTTTTTACCGATTTTGATGACATCGGGCAACGCCAGCGTGTGCTGCAGCAGCGCGCTGAGCACGGCGAGGCAACAACTCAGACGCAGATAGCGCCAACACCAACGCGGGGACACCGCAGATTGCATCTTAACACTTTAGCTGGCGCTTTGCACTAAACTACTCGCGGCTGTATATTGTTTTAATATATTTTTTTCAACTTTTAGTATACACTTTGCAGCAAGTTTTTTTTTGTATTATATTTATTTTCTAGACTTCTTCACTTGCTGCTACTACTCTTCACATACACATGCACACACACGCGTATCCGCGCCTCACACTTGTAGATACATTTTTCTTGGCCCGAATGTTTCGCTTGCTTTGACAGTTGGAATGTTACTGAACGCAGTTTGACGCATGGAAAAGCGTTTGACAGGATGCTGCGCTGTTACAAATATTGTCATTTGTTGTTGTTGCTTCTTGTAATCATCTTATTTGTTGCTGCGAGTTGGTGGTTGCAATGTGACAGTGTTTACGATTACAAATGACAGTTGCGGCAATTGCGCAGTGGATGCTGCGGCGCGTGTGGTGTGGAACCAAGCTTGAGCAGGCGTTTACGAGAGCTTTTTAGGAGAAAAGCTAGTAGGCAGTTTGTGCATAAAATTCCAGTTACGAAGTGCTTTTAAAAACTGCTTTACCAACTGTTTTTAGTTAGTTTGGACACCAAGCATTCTTTTTAAGTTCTTCAGCCTTGGGAGAGAGCTTTGAAACTGGTTAATATTTTTGTAGTTCTTTCTCAAATTTTAAATTTCCTCTGGCTTAACTTTCATTTCATTTTCACTGAATTCGACCCCAACTGGTTCATTTCAATTACTCGCACAAACCGTCCGTAAAACATAGCCCATAAAATGAGTCGATTTAGGAATACCTCTGCCTGTATATACCAGCATAAGGCCCTCAGTATTTTCGATATCGATCTGATAAGTTGCACACATCCTTTTCTCCACAAGAAGTTTCTCAATTGCTGGAATCGGCAATATTGGTTCACTTTAGGATACAACTAAAATACAAACTGATCGGTAAAACTGTCGGAAGACATGTTTTATTTGAAAAGATACTTTCAGCAATTTTGGTACAGAGTATTATCCAAGACATCCTTTACCAATAGCAAAAATTTACAGAATTTACAGTGCGTCTTAATAGAAGGGATATATTCCGATTAATAGAACGTTCAACGATTGGTTCTCCTTCTTAAACCAAAAAAAAAAACCTCCGGAAGACCATTCATCTTATCGACCTCTGTGCATGCCTGACATAATTGGCAAAGTGTATGAAAGCATAGTAAAGAATCGATTGGAGTTAGCAATCCAGAAAGCCGGCGGATTATCAGAAACACAATACAGCTTTATGAAAAAGAGGTTTACCATTGATGCATTGAGCCCTCTTCCAAGTAACATAATGTGTATGATGACTCAAATTTAAGGATGCCCTAGAACGCACTGCAGATAAATCGGATCAGAATGGATAAAAACCTAAATAACTTATCAAAAATGATGGAAAATAAAGGCTGCGTGCGTTGCAGCTGGCGAACGTAATGAGATCGATTGTGTTATATGCGGCTCTAATAGGGATTCAGGCGTTAAGTATTAAAGGAAATGCCAGATAATTAAGCACAGTGCACAGCCAGTCGGCATTAAGTTATCAGTGCTTTCTGAACAATATCAAGCAATGTTGCGGAAGAAAAAGCCAGTATGGTGCCCATTGACACCCAGGGCGACGAACAGGAGCGGGTAGACAAGTTATCAGATCAGTATATAGGAGCCAAAAGAGAAGAGAGAGAGAGTGAAAAACTTAACAATGTGGCAGTAACGGTGACAAATCTGACTGAAAGGACGGTGGACCCACAGACTGATACCGAATACCTAACCCAAATATTAAGTGGACATGGGTGCTTTAAAAGCTGAGTGTATGGATTCCAGCAAGGCAATAGTCCGAACAGTCCGAATTTTGCAACGCCTTCAGAGTACTTTGAATACTCTGAGCATGTATTCATTTATTGCCTTTGCTTTTTAAGCACAAGGAAAAAACTTAAAAATACACTTGGTCATAGAACTGAAAAGCTGTAACCGAAGTGGCTGCGCTAATCATGACAAAACTGAGACATATAGAGCAGATTAGAGCAGTAATACTTAATCGGGTGGTTCCGTGGGAGTCTGGATTTGAAAGTAGGTTAGGTTTAGCGGACTGAAGTTCTGTTCTCCGGCTTTCCTAGTTAAAAAAAGGCACCCCTACAATCATAGAAGAAATTATACAGATCGGGTATCTATGTACATATTATAAATCCAGCGCAGTAAGTATTTTTTCTATGGTAGATTCGCATTCTAGCGAGTAAGATCAGACATAGTAATCTATCTATGTATTAATCACCTTCACAGTACATGACGAAGAAAAATGTGTTGGTACAGCGTCTATCTGTGTGACATGTAGGCGAATGAATGACTATTCAAAATGTTGGTGCTCTAATTAATTGAAAAACTATTGCTCAATAAGTACAACAAAAAATGTTAAAGCAGTATTGCGTTTTCGTTTCATGATTTTCATGACTTTCTTTTATTATTTTCAGGACATATATATATTCTGTTCAGTAATCTTAATCCATCGATAAGTAATTTAAAAATGGATAACATCTTTTTGCTACTTTCCGCAGAGATCGTTTATGCAACACATTATTGTAGCTTATACACTTTGAGCCAGCTGAGCAAATTTTAAGTAAATGTGAAATTTGTGTATGTAAGTGTATGCGTAAATATTTGAGTGAAGTAAACAGCTCATGGAAACCGCAACTGACAGCCGGAACGACCCGAAAACCAACAGGAAACCACAAAAACTACAAAGGAGAAAATGTGGTCCAGCAGCGTTTAAATCGTCTCATATTTGTGTTTGCACGCTTAAGACATATGTGTGTGTGTGTCCGGGTTTGTGGTGTGAGTGTGTTTGCGTACGTAACATTGAAAGCGCAAGTAACTGTCGGTGAACTGGAGTGGCGATGAAATCGAGAAAGGATGGCGGAAAGTAGAAATGAAGAGAAATCGAGAATGTAATGTATTGCTGGCAGGAAGCATTGTTTTCGAATGCACACTGTATATGTATGACTATGCGATATGTTGTGGTTCCAGAAAAGGGGTATAAACTGGTAAGCGGAGTATGGACAATTTGCAATGAAATCGGTTGTTAAGAAGATAAAGGATTTATTTACTTTCTTCGGAACGTCAGATAATGGATTGTTCTTTAATTTACGTTGAACAAAAATTTTTCTTGCAATTTTTTTTAGAAGTAATCTTGTCCAAGTGTAGCTGTAAGGATTTTGCTAAAAATTAAAAAAAAAGCTCTCTAATATTTCAGAAATAATGTAATAGAAGCAACTTAAATTTTTTGCCAAATCTTCGGAAGTCAGTTCAAAAAATTTCATGGAATTTAAAAACACAATTTTAAATTTTTATTGCACTTTCCAGTTTTGTGAAGTGTTATTTACTTTGATAATTATTTAATAAATTTAATTTATTTAAATTATTTACTTTTATTTATCTAATTTATTTACATATTAAGCTTAGAGAGTATAGAAAAGAACTTACTCTACCTTTAGCGTTAAATCAAAACTTCACTAAATGTTACGTATACGCACCGTAGACTCACAAACAGTTCCACAAACATGCTACTTTTGCTTTATAAATTATAATATTTCATATATTTATAAATTATAATATTTTCTACCAGCTGATAGCCTCTGAAGCTAGCGCTGCATGCTTTAGGTTGTACATATGTAACTAACATTGTATAAGCTTTTATAAAAAAAAAAAAAATAAAAAATATTTTCTACTAAAGTTGGTGTTACCACAAGGCATTCTCCCTTCTTCTTCTAATTGCTTCTATAATTATAAATTCTGGCATCTCAGTAATGTATCTTTGTTATAATCGCATACGGCTCAAGATGCTTGGTTTTATTTTAAAAATTCTCACTCCGCACACATAGCAGCGTGTTATAATTTGTTGGACATGAAGTTGTTGCAAATACACGCGCATCTTGCTTACGCGCCAGAAAGTATGCTACGCATTATTGGCACCTGTGCACAAATATTTGCCGTTTCTTGGCTGGCAGGCGGCCAATGGTGAACGACGGCGAGTAAAACCGCGCACAACACACACTTACACAATCACATATATATATATTTTTGTCATTCCGTTTGTTTGTATTATATTTGCTGGGCATGACAGTTGATGTAAATTCAACAACACATACCGAAGATTCGCCGAGAAACGTGGAAGAGCAAAAAGGCCTTCAAAAGCCAAAGAAAGGCGAATGCTTAAGCGCTTTAAGCATTCTTATGTGGCTTGCCCCAATACAAGCGCATATTTGCTGGAAATGCGAAATAAAATGTAGAAGAAAAGAAAAAGAAAAAAAAAAAACTGTTGGAGTCTTAAATTTTGCTGGTTGAACGCGCCAGCACCGCACATTTTATCTTTGTACATAAAGTAGCAGCCAACAAGTGACCAACGCCAATGAGTGTATCTAGAACGACAGCAAGGGCGCCTGTAAAAATTACTAGCAGTAGCAAGAGCTTGTATATTTGCGTGCTCACATCAACTTGCGCGCCGCGTGGGATGCCTGCAGGATACAATAACCGTCGTAATAATATCAACATCATCACAACAAGGTTAAATTAGGTCAATGGCGAAGACACTGAGTGGGCATACGAAATCAACAGTTATGCTATATTCTACATTGCTAGACTTAAAGCGCTTCTTCGCTGCCCTCGAAAGTATTGTCTTCATTTTAATTTCGTAGTTATAGAATTCGGAGCCAAAACAGTTCTGATATAATTTCAAATTATTACATAATAATGAACATAAGTGAAGGTATGTACTTTTTCATAAGTTGATAACTGTAGTTAACAGAAAGTCTTGAAAAAAATCAACGCTTCTCTATTTATTATTTAATGTTTAAGTATCTTTGAATTCTCAGAAGTATCTAAATATGTGCGAGTGTGATCGAAAGTGAGTTTATCGACCTATTTTATAGGGTGTCCCATTTCAAGGTTTCCTACTTTTTTAAAGGAAAAGCACAGAAACTTCAAAATTTAATGGGAAATGCTTATTATCTTTCAAACGTTGGCTGCGGCCACGTCTCATGTTGAGTTCAATTTTCGTTCTAGCATTTTGACTACTAAATAGACTTTAGACTAGAATATATCTAAGAACTCAACGTAAAATGTGCCAAGTCGTTCCATACATCTACGGTCTTCGTGCACACTCTCAGCTACGGCCGCTACATTTTCTTCGCTGCCTATTGGACGTGGTCTTATATTATCCTATAATGAT